ATTTCCAGACTAAGGCTATAGACGTGGTACATTCTCAGACGTTTCGCCAGCATCGTAGTCGGTATCGTCAGTCAGTCTTGCCATTCTTAGTACCACATTTCAACTCGTCAAAGAGACGACTACAATTCTGGCGAAACGTTTGTGAATGTATCACGTCCATGGTCCGACTTTGGAAATAATCATGCCTACAACGGACTCCGGACTAGTTACATTCCTCTAAGTATTCCTACCAATATGACAAAGTTGCGAACACAAGGTCAAACAAATCCTATTTTAGTTTGCAGAGAGGCTTAGTTACGAAACCTTTCAACTAGGCTCTTCAAACGACATGAAAGTTGAGTCAACATTAAAGTGTTTTTCAATCGGAACAGGAAGCTGTGATATAATTTCGCTTACTCGATTTCACCGCCAACCAATCTGGCAGACCGCCCACGAACACGGTGACTCCGGCCGGAAGACGTTCCGCAGACAAAGGCAGCCATGGTATCCAGCTGCTTAGAACCCTCTGGCGATCGGATCGTAGGCACCAGGTACCAGGCTCTTGGTCAGACTGAGCATCGCCTGGATACATAGGAGCCATGGGCTGTGCTGACAACCTTTCTTCCGCCCGTGTCTCCGGTTTCGAGGCCTCAACGTCTCGGGCGATGCCTCTGATAGGGTCACTGTTGCCACCACCCTCTGCGCCTCGAATTGCAGCTTCAGGAGGGCAGACCGTATCTGTGTGACCCGTCTGTCCGAGACCAAGGTGATGTACATAATTGTCGTCCAAACGCAGGCTCGTTTGTTGAAGCGATCGACATTCCGTTGGTTTGCAGTCTGTCAGAGTGAGGTAGCCGTCGACCAACTGAAATAGGCGAGAGTCAAGTGGACCAAATTCTATCGATGAAAGCAGCAAATTCTGTCTCCTATAAGGAGCCGAATTTAGCTCCACTTTTACAAGAGGCAAATCAACACAGCATAAAGAAACAGGGCTCCCTGAAACTAATACTTGATTTTACTTTATTGAATAATACTACTCAAATAGTCTTAATTGCTTGACTAAGTAATACTGAGTATTATGCAAAAACTTTGGACAGATAAAAAGTGCCACAGTTATACGTTTGGGATGGCTCCATCTGAATGAAGCAGTGCTCCAATGCTTCCAAACGATCTGCCATTTTTAATGTGCCAACTAAATATATTTTGAAATTACCACCTAGCCACATAAGTTCAGTGAATATTTATATTTAAAATTATCACAATGAAAGGAGCTACTCTTTTGAAGCCACAAAATGCAACTTGACTTGGCCTCTAGGAAGATTTTCACATACAGACTGTCCTGTAGCTTCGACCCCGCCTCGGTCTCATCTGCCCACCCAACACAATTCGATGCCATTTCATACTCATCATTCGGCAACAACAATTCGCTGCTGCAAAGCCCAGAGGGCCAGTGGATCGCAGGATAGCTGCAATTTTCAAGACAAGTCAGGTCTCTTCCAGTTTGCAAGTATTGTGATACTATGATTGTCAGGACAAATTCGATTTGCCATCAGAATTGAATTAAACTATTAGATACCAAACAGGTTAAGTCATTAAAAGTGCAAATGATAGGTTTATTCTAGTTGAGTAGGTTTGGAATATATCAGTATACAGGCCAAATCCTGGTATACCGAATACTGTAATATCGAAATTTCCAGAATGCTGGATAAGTTTATTGCTTAGAAGTGGTTTGATCTTGTTCTCGCAGCTTGGTTGAATGGTTAGAGCGGCCTACAGGAACGCACCTCATCCGGATTCCCTACTATCCATGATGCTGTCCAGCTTCAGACCTTAGACTTGGTACATTCCATGAAGTTGCGTCGGTATCGTAATCGGCATCGTCAGTAAGTCTTGCCATTTTTGCAACAACACTACAACGCGTCAAATACACAATTGAAGTCGATCCTTCGACCATTTGTCTGCTAAACAGTTGTGGTATCTCTCCTATTATTGAATGCCCCAATACAGAAAGAGAGATACCACAACTGTTTAGCAGACAATTGGGCAGAGGGCCAACTTCACTTGTCTCTTTGACGAGTTATAGTGTG